TGAAAACAGAGGTAAACTAGTAGGGGTTTACCTTTCCCTCATTTTTTAACTGGTTGCAAACCTTTTTTCGTGTTTTCGTGATAGTGAAGCATGCATTTTTGTTCAAAATTCCGAAAATTTTCGGAGAAAGCCCAGAATTTGCATTTATGGAGAGCTCCATGCAAAAGTTTCGGAAAAACTCCATGATTTTTCCATTTTTTTTTCGGAATTTTCTGACAGTGTGATAATCTGGGCCCAGACCGGCCAAAACCTACGAGACTTATTGCATTTTTAATGCGATAATTTTTTTTTTTGCTGCCACAATGCGATAATTTGAAGGAATCACACTAGCCTTTTTATCGCAGCAAATTTTATGAAACTTATCACATTAGAAATATCAGTGAAATCGTGCTTGTTCAACCGACCCACCTTCGTGTGTAATTGTTGTGGCTACGAAGGGACGAAACAATTTGAGCCCAAACGAAATGTTTGGGCGGTTCTTATTCCCATTCACAGTGTATTTCTTCTGTCCAGGATTGCGAATCAGTAAGGAACAGCACTCCGATGCCCCCTATTGAATGAAGCCTATCTGAGCGTTCCCGGGAGAAGAAGCCTATCTTTCCGTAACCGTGTACAAAAGCCGATCGATTTCGGGAGGTCTCAGAAATCGTCATAGAACATCGGCTTAGGCACAAGACGGTGTAGTAGTAACATAGAGATGATAGATGCTCTACCCGGTATCGTTTTAAATGGGCACGGATGATTTGACCTTCAAATATGACGATTTCTGAGACCTCCCGAAATCGATCGGCTTTTGTACACGGTAACGGAAAGATAGGCTTCTTCTCCCGGGAACGCTCAGATAGGCTTCTTTCAACAGGGGGCATCGACTCAAGTGACGGTCCATGGTACCACTGGTCGAAGTTCAATAACTGTACAGTTGATAGCTATCAAAATGTGATAATGAATCAGTAAGTTATGTTTCTATTCGGTCCTCGACGCAACGGCCACTCTTCATGAGTTCGTCGCACTCTGCATTTATAAACCGAAAGGCGACAACAGCGACCACTCCCTCAGCACCATGGCACGCTTCAGCACCCTGGTGATTGCACTCATTGTCGCTGCTCTCGTCGCGGTGAGTATGGGAGACGCAGAGAGGAGCATTCCATACACGCACTGTAAAAAATGTTCGGAATTTTACTATACAGTAGTCTAGGAAAATTCCTATACATGTATAGGAATTACTGAAATTCCGATACCTGTATAGGAATATTCCGATTTGTATAGGTTTTTTGCTATACGGGCTGGAAATGTATAGGAATATTCCTATACATGCATCGGAATTAGAGCAATTCCTATGAATGTATAGGATTTTGCAGCCCGTGTATAGGAATATGGCCAACTGAAGAAAAAGAATTTGCCATCAACCGTAAAAACAGCGATTCAATTTGTTGTATTTTGTCTTCACACTGGTGATCAATACGATCATTTGTTAACAACGTACAAAATTCTCAAAAGCTGCTTGTTTGCCCGCTGTCCGGATTATCCGCTAGATGGCGCTAGTGTCGTTTTGACGGACTTACTTCTCGGTGTGCGCTGCGGCTAGGAATTTGGTTGGGTTAGGGGGCTCGCGTCCTACAATATAGTAAGAAAGTTGAAGTCATTTCAACTCTTACATCATTTTTACTGAGGTGTTCCTTACACCTTGGGTGTTCAATTGGTGAAGTCGATCTTTGCCAATGTGGAGGACCGGGATGAGGGGTCACTTGATCCATACTCGATGATCTACAATGGCGGGAAATGCGGCCGTCGTATAATCTGACAGTTCATCCGGTTCGGCCGGCCTAATTAACACATTTTGGTGGAAATCCTATACATGCATTGCAGTTGCGCCATTCCGATGTATAGGAAAAATCCTACACAACGGATGGGAGAACGCCTATACACGTATAGTCATAATGCCGTACCGATGTATAGGAAAATTGCCATACGAGTGCATGGTAAAATTCCTATACGTGTATATGTAAATAGCTTCATATACATGTATAGGAATTTGACTATAATTTTTTTTTACAGTGCGGTCACTGTGGCAAATACTACGGAATGATTCATGTTTTGCCATGACTCTCCGTACCCAAAACCCAACATACTCCGCGGCCTCTTCATCAGTATTCTCCGTACACACTGAACGTTTAGGTAGAATTTTGTGCGTGCAACCCACACGATTTTGTGCATACGTGGAATATGCATGATATCATGCGTCAGTTGTGCAGTGCATAAATGTGCACAACTCAGTTCGAGTAGAGTGCTTTGCCTCAAGGTGTTATAGATACCGTTAAGGATACAGCCATGCGTGTACCTGGCGTCAAACAAGGCGTCCAACAGTAGAGAACCTATTTAGGTTTTAGGTAGACGCCAGAAGGGAATCGACGAAGCAGGGGGTGGCAACGGCCTAGGGAGAGCGTGAAGCGATGCTCGCGCCGTCAGTGCAGAGGTTGCGCACTTGTTCGAGATCATGAAAACTAGTCAGTGTTTTTCAAAACGCTTTGCACCGATTGAAAGGGCTTGAAATTTAGGGTGCATTAGGCTAATTGCTCTTCTCGAAACTCCCCTCTGACTTTACGTTAAGGTGCAGTGAAAACACCAAAAACACGAGAAATCATAAAATTCAGAAAGAACTCGAATGCGCCATGTTGATGTAAATGATTCCGCCCTTGTGTTCGGTTGAATTGGAAGTATCGGGCAGTCTACTAGGCCTAATGCACCTTAAATTTTGTGCTCTTTTGATCTGCGCAAAGCGTTTTGTAATCAACGGGCAAGATCTTCCAATCGAAGAAAAATAAGTAACCCCTGCAACTCCCTCGCGCATGGCTTCACGCGCTTCCTAGGCCGTTGCCGCCCCCTGGACGAGGTAGCCTATTTCGCATTCCTGCTGTTTTGACGGACTCATGCCCAGCAAAGATACCTCGCACCTCAACCCCCGTGGTCATTCAATAACCAAACCCCAGTCGTCTTGGCTTCTAGAAAAACGCCCAACGGCGTGTAGTTGAAGAACACTAAGGGTTTTCTGTTTAGTGCCGCGGGTGAAGGGAGATGCGCACGCCTCGCGTTGTCGGAACAGGCGCAGCATAGAGAATTCTGATACAAGACTCAGTCAACTAATTTGTTATATCGCTCAAAAAGTTTTACAAGTGTGTAAATTATGCTTTCAAATACACACTATGTGTTTATGTACAATTTTGTACGTGGTGATGCATAATTTTAAACCTGCGTACCGTCGTGCATAAAATTGTGCGTGAATTTGCATAAATTCATGCATTTTTACGCATGATATTATGCATATTCCACGCATGCACAAAATCGTGCGGGTTGCACGTACATAATTCTACCTTAACATTTAGTGTGTATGAAGGCAGTTTTAAGGCCATATCTGACTCAATGTTTGTCCGAGCCTCTCCACTAGATATTTATGTTTTGGTGGTTTGTCAAGGTGGTTTGTCAATTTACGCGTCTAATTATAATCTTTCTGTTGACAGGTTTGCGGCGCCGCTAGCGTTCCCGCACGTGAAGAGACTGGTGAGTCTTCCCTTGCCATAGAGCGCGCGGTAAAAGTCCCGCCTTGAAATCCAAGGGGATGTCTTCGTTTTGTTTCCAAGGGATTGAGTGAACATTCGAAGTGGCTTAATCAGGATCTTTTAATGGAAATGGACTCGTCTTGACAAAACACACCGAACTGTCACACACCTCATGTTTGGGTGGGAAATGAAAACGTTCCCTGAGCTTCAAAAGTACTGTAAAGGCCATTTTTTTTTTGTCCATTTGACAGATTTGTAGATGATTGACCTCTTTATTTCCCATCCAAACCAATGACATTGTTGACATTTTTTTATTGTCTTCACAAGACGAATCCATTTGAATGAAGAGGTCTCAATTTGGACAACTTTAAAGGTTCACTCAAATCCCTTGAAAATAAAACCAAGACATCCCCCTGAGCGATTCTCACGTTTCGGGGTAGTTTTGGCGTCTCTGATTTGCCGAAAGTGAGAAATATCCAATTAAGTTTTTCTGATTATTGGGGTCCTGGATGATACTAGAGTTATGGCAATGGTATTTATAGTAAAGACCTTGTACTACCTTCCTAAAAACATGAGCCATAAGGTATTCCCATACGTTTTAGTGGGTGTTTTGATCACGGAAATTACGTTATCACGGAAGTTACAAAGTGTGAAAATCGGCTTTAACGGCTGACTCGGGCTTGCTGTGGCTTAAAAGTCGTTCCAAGGTCAAATGATACTCTAAGCCCGACATTTAAGCGGAAAATTTTTTCACCTAGTGCTGCTGCAACATTGGGTAAAGGGTGCCACGGAAGTTACAGGTAATTGTTGATACACGCCATTTTATAATGCTCTAGCCCGCTTTGAGACCGTGTACAGCATCTTAGATTTCCGCGACCCATGCAATTATATCTCAGGGACTCCACTTTGATGGCTTGTGTCATGGAAAGTTTAAAGTTTGGCTTGGGGAGAAGTCCACAGCTGCCTTTTCGAAATTTGTGTAGTGAAATTGAATATACGGAGGACATTTTTCGTTGCAGCATAAGTACCTTTGAAAGAAGTCTGGCGTATTGGTCTTCGGTCGAAATTAGCTCGAGACATGCCAAGCTTCGAATCCCCATCGACAGTTGGCAGCATTTTCGAACCACACCACCACACTGGGGGCGGAAAGTTCGAGTATGTTCTCTTTGGACAATCACGGAAGTTACATTTAGGGTATTCCAAACGCTACGTAGACCAAACCAACGAACGTGAACTTTTCGAAATGTGTGCGTTTATTGGGCAATGGCCCTCCCTAACATCAGAAACAAACCCCATGTCGATATCTGCGCTCGTTTGGGCACAGGAGTCAGAAGAAACGAAACTACCCCGAAACGTGAGAATCGCTCCCCTGGATTCCCAAGTGGGACTTTTACCGAGCGATTTGTTACTGCGTAATAAATAGGAAGAATCCCAGCTACGGCAAGCTTATGCAGGCGCGTTGGCAGCTCGGTCGCTCGGCTGAGTCAGTTTAACTAGCTGCACTGAGATTCCAAACGATA